TCGTCTGCGAGTTTATTTTGAACTCCATTTGGCCCGCCGTTCATTATGCGCGACACTGGGAGAGCAAAGGGGTGGGGGGGGGGTTATCGTTGCCCACCCCCCCCCATCCTCTCACCTCGCCTCCCCCATCGCCAGCTGCACCCAGAGCCCCCTGGGTCACGACAGGGTCACTGCGATAATGCTGGCCCTGGGGTGGCGTTACCAGTTCAGTCGTCCAGTTGATTTCCTTTCACCAGCTTGTCCCTATTCTTTGGGTCTGTCGGTAACGTCACGTAGAAAGGAAATAAATTAAATAATATAATGCGACGTTTCCATTGCGACACGAGCAACCGTCATCAGGTAGAACTAAACTCGAGAGACAAAACACAGACACGGAGACACACACAAGCAGAGAGACAACACAAATACACACAGAGACACATACAACATAGACACACAGAGACCCAATGCCTCTGTTCTGAGCTACACTGTGTGTCTCTCTGATCTGTTCTGGGCTACACTCTGTGTGTCTCTCTGATCTGTTCTGGGCTACACTCTGGGTGTCTCTCTGATCTGTTCTGGACTACACACTGCGTGTCTCTCTGATCTGTTCTGGACTACACACTGCGTGTCTCTCTGATCTGTTCTGGGCTACACTCTGTGTGTCTCTCTGATCTGTTCTGGGCTACACTCTGCGTGTCTCTCTGATCTGTTCTGGGCTACACACACTGCGTGTCTCTCTGATCTGTTCTGGGTAGAACTAAATTTGAGAGAGACACAAAACATAGACACGGAGACACACACACGAGCAGAGAGACAACACAAATACACACAGAGCGAGACACATACAACATAGACACACAGAGACCCAATGCCTCTGTGTCGAGGCCTTTAATAGAGAGAGAGGGTTGGGCAGAGAGAGAGGTGGGTCTTCTGGAGCAGCTGCTGGAGCAGTTAAATTAGCATGTCAATGAATCCACCCAGAATGCGACCGAGGGAGAGAAAGCAAATGGCCCTATGAGAGCCTGGTAAATTTTAGAGAGAAATAGGCAGTTTGAGAAAACAAAATTTTGCAATTTTTTGGGAAATGTAATGCAATGCAACACAGAGAGTCGGCTAACACACAGTTAACGCATAGCCTGGTTGATTACGATCTCCAAAGATTGCTAAAATTAGAAGTTAAGTGTGAAATTTGACAGAGACACACAGAGAGATGTGTGGAAATCCACCCCGAAGTGGCCGGTTCAAACGTCCACTGAAATATAATTTACCTAAACAAACGCATTCACTTTATTTAAAATTTAAGTTAAGTCCGAAGGGCCAGCCTCCTACCGTTGTTATTGAGCTGATCTGGCCCATGTCAGGCCAGTTACACCGTGTGATCGCGTTAAAGCGAATGTCGTGAGAATTTTATTGTGTTATTTTATTTTATCAATTTATTTTATTCTCATTCTACGTGACTTTACCGAAAGAACCAAAGAAGATGAATCCTTGCAGTCACGAAAGCTTTAAATCGAAAAGCGAATGTATTTGTTTACACAAGCATATTTTAGTGGACGTTTGAACCGATCTAAGTGACTTTACCGAAAGACCCAAAGAATATGAATTCCCGCAGTCACGAAAGCTTTAGGGCAAGATCCAGCTTGTTCCTCTTCTTTTGTTGCGGCCCGGCTCATGGTTACGACCGCAGAGGTGACGGGGCTGCAATTTCACATTCGGGCGGTCAAGCCCAGATAACCGGGTTTAACCTGCAGCCGAGGAACTCAAACATAGCACGGCGGGTCTCTCCAAGAGGACCGGGGATTTGCGAGATTGGGCCTGGGGTCACGGAGAAGGCAGAGGCAAAACGAAAACAATGTGAGCGAAGAACAGTTACGTACAGCGATGGAGCAAAGAGAAAAGCGTGGTACGAAAACAGCTGCCACTCGATAAGCCGGAGGACGCGGAGGAAAATCCACGCGACCACGGGGAGAGAGAGGCACGCAAACTCCAAATATACAGCAGCAGGCATCTTGGGTTGTGATCAAACCCACGACCTCCTGTATACCAGGCGAGGTAGTTAACATCTCCTAGCCACCGTGATGATGATGATGATGAAAGAGACACGCAAACTCCAAATATACAGCAGCAGGCATCGTCAGGGTCAGGATCGAACCCACGACCACCGTGGCACAGATTGTCAGGTGGATGACGAGATGTTAACAATGGGAAGATTTACAACAAAAAACCCCAAACAAAACAACGATGTTTCATCATTAGGTTGATATTTTAATCAACGAATTCAATGACGTGGTGATTGTTTACAGGCCTAAAACGAGGCCTCCCATTTCCACGACGACGGAGCAGTTCAGCGGCAAAAAGCAAACACTTTTCTGTTTAGCCAAAGTGAGCAAAGATGCCTCGTAATTGTGTCAACAAAGTAGATAACTTCTGCTATGTTTGTGGTGAAGTGACTTTTGCATCACAAAAGCGCAGTATAACCACTATGGTTAAGAAAGCCTATCACCTTTATTTTGGCTGCAAAATTGGAGATCAGGACAAGATGTGGGGCCCACACATATTTTGCAACACTTGTGCAACAAATCTTCGCCAGTGGTTGAACAGGAAAAGGAAATCGATGCCTTTTGCAGTGCCAATGATTTGGAGAGAGCCAACAGATCATATCGGCGATTGTTGCTCCTGCATGGCGCTTCCAGTTGGTAAAGGTGTATCAAAGAAGACAAAGTGGACTGTGCATTATCCAAACATTCCATCAGCTACACGCCCAGTACCCCACGGAGAAGGACTCCCGGTTCCTGATTCACCAGAATCATTCTCACTTGATTCAGACGAGGAAGAGGATGAAAATTCTGGTACTGAACCATCAAGGTCACATGACCCAGAATGTGTCCCATCCTCCTCCTCTGAACCACACCTCATAACACAAGGTGAACTGAAAGAACTTGTCTGGGATTTGGAACTACCCAAGAGTAAGGCAGAGTTGTTGGGCTCCAGACAGCAGCAGTGGAATCTCCTGGCAGGTGATGTTAGGGTTTCCATGTTCCGTGACCGTCAAAAAGATCGTTCCATTCTTCTTCATGGAAGGTGACCTTGTAGCCTGCAACAACATCGATGGTGTGATGGCAGCCCTCAACATCGTTCATGATCCAGATGAGTGGAGACTGTTCATTGATTCACCAAAGATGAGTCTTAAAACTGTTTTGCTGCATAATGGCAATGTCTTGCCATCAATTCCAGTTGGTTAGGCAGTCCATATGAAGGAAACCCATGACAACATGAAACAACTTTTGAGGTGCATAAACTATGACCAACAACAGTGGCAGCTCTGTGGCGATTTGAAGGTTGTTGCTCTCTTGCTTGGTCTGCAGACTGGATACACAAAGTACTGCTGTTCTCTCTGCGAATGGGATAGTCGTGCGAGAGATTCCCATTACATCAAGACAGATTGGCCACTCCAAAAGTCATTGGAGCCTGGGAGAAAAGGTGGTCAGCATCCACCACTTGTTGAATCAAGGAAGATTTTGTTACGACCCTTACACATCAAGCTTGGTCTGATGAACTTTGTCAAGGCCATGGACAAAACACAAGCAGCTTACAAGTACCTCCGTGGAAAATTTCCAAGGTTAAGTGAAGCTAAGATAAAAGAAGTCCTCAGATTCGTGAAATTCTTGGAGATGATGCAATTGACAGTGCACTGCGTGGCAAGGAAAAGACGGCATGGAACGCCTTACAGTTGGTGGCAACACATTTTCTTGGAAACAAGGCAGACTACAGGCAGTTGGTGGAAACCCTCAAGGCCTTGGTTGCAACATATCACTAAAGACACTTTTTGCACGCTTATCTAGATTTTTTCCCCCCACCAAACTATGGAGCAGTGAGCGGCCAGCATGGCTAGCGATTTCACCCAGGACATTGCAACAATGGAGAAACACTATCAGGGCAAATGGAGCCCCTCAATGCTTGCAGACTATTGCTGGACAGTGACAAGAGATGCTCCATTTAATAAATACAAGAGACAAGCCAAGCAGCGCCGAGTAGACAATTTTTTGAGCTGCCGTTTTGTATTTACAAGAGGTGGTCCTTTTTTGAGCTGCCGTTTTGTATGTGTAAGATGTGCGTGTTTGAGCTGCCGCTCTCGCTCTGGCCCCTCCCCCCCTCCAACCGTATTTCCTATTTAAGCTTCTGTTCATCCCTCCGGCACCCCCCTCTCTCTCTGCCTCCCTGTCCGTCTTTCATCCCTCCTTACCTCTTGGTGGACTTGTATATATATTTCTACTGACCGTGTACCTCGTATTTTTCATTCTATCTATGCTGGTATGTGCAATCCAAAGGTTGAACACGAAATTTAACACTCCTCTGAAATTCGTGGTCCGCCAGGAAGTGTCTAACTGTGTTGTTGGCCTGACTGGACGTGCTTCACATAATGTTTTTTCAGGTTTGTTGAATTCTCGTCTCTCATCTTTTTGTTGTATTTACCTCCGTGATTTGTTCTTGACACCTGATGAAGATCGCTTGCGTTGTGATCAAAACGTCGTGATTGTTTTCTGTTTTAATATAATTTTATTGTATTTCTACATACGTGACTTTCCCGAAAAAACCAATGAGTAAGGGCTAAGCTATGTACTTATATAGAGGCGTTGATGACGTCATGTCACCCTGGGGTATTTAAGCTGGGACCCGTGACGTGAACGGGGTCGTCGTCGGAGCCGGGAACGAGAGAGATTGGGAGTCGGGACCCAGGGTAGGGCGATTCTACACGAGGCTAGGGTGGCTGCTTCACCCAGCCGGCCGATGTTGGTTGAACCCTCGGTCGGTGCAGTGGGAAGAGCCCAGACAGCCGGGGGGTGTTAGCATTCCCAGTACCCTTCCCCTGGGGAGAAATATGTTAGCCCCTAGTTCCTAGGTGTAAGCCCCTAATAAACCTTGGCGTCAGCCCCTAACAAACCTTGGCATCAGCCCTTACGAAGATGTGCATCGTCAGTTGCACCTCAACACTTGTATATACACGATAGTTTTTTGCCTTTTGTTTAATAATAAACTTTATTTATATAATCCTTTTGCTGATTTTTTTTAAGTGTTACATGAACAGGACAGGTGACATGTTATGATGTAAAGCATTCATAAACACATGAAGATACCTATAGGTTTATCATTTATGGGTAAAACTTTACTGTCTACACAAAATACATAGACTTAAAATGTAAAAACTTAAATATCTTGGGAACAGTAGCCGTTCAGTTGTTTTGTCATATCTGAATTCAGCACATCAAAATCCAGAATAAACAGCACATTTAATCTGTGAAGCAGACGACGTCTAAAAAATCGTAGACCAGTGCGATCAGTGCGACCTAGCAGCGTATTAGTTCGGCAATGTTGACTTCACTGGCGGTGCTTGTTCTCAGCTCACTCGCTTTTGGATTCATCGTTGACGTTTTCCCGGCGGTGAATTGTTGAGAGTAAAAAAAAAAAACACGGTGTCCACGTCGTCAATTCCCGCCGCCGCCGCCCGAGTCACGATCACGTCAACGCGCCCGTGTGGGCCGGGAGGACATCGTGGCGTCCCATCGTGGTGGGGCCGCAGGTGACCCCCCCCACCGTGCCACCTCCACCGGTCGCTCACTTGGAGAGGCGGATGATTTTCTGGAGCTCCTTCAGCTGCGCGTTCCCCCGAGTCATCGCCATCCTCACCGCGTCCTGCACGGAGCGCGCACCCCACCGACGGAGGTCATAGACGGAGGTCATCGACGGAGGTTACCGACGAAGGTCACCGACGAAGGTCAACCGACGGAGGTTACCGACGGAGGTCATCTCCCCAGGCATGGTGCGATGGCGTCGTGGGTTTGGCGATCGCCGTAAATTCTCGTGAGATGCTCGCGCACGAATGTGTCGGGAGCGAACGAAAAACGAACGCGACGGCGAAAATGGAGCTACAAGGCAAACGAGACAGTTTTTTTACTGTCCTTCCCCCGCACCTCCGATTAGCACGTTTGGCTACGTACGGTGCGAGAGAACTTCAACGTACGTACGTACATAAAAAATGATACGAAAAATAATACATTGCTCAATCGGATCACGATAATTTATCGACTTACCGCAGGTGGTGGGCCTGAATGGTTACGGGATATTGATTGAGCTCACTCAACCCGTGAGTATTCCATTGCAATTACGTAATTTATTTAGTTTAAATCAGAGTGGTGCACGTCCTCGGACTAGCTCCGCACGCATGCAGATGTCGCACCCGAGCAGCACGATGATCATGACAATGATGTCGCTTTAATAGCACAGGGTGACTCGGCTGTTAATGGCAATCACTGCGTGGTGGTGGGGGTGGTGCTGGTCTGGGTGGTTTAGTGTCGGGAGCTGTAATGCAGTAATTCATATTCTTAGCAGTAGTTGGCGCGCCGTGCTATGAACGTGGAGACCCGAGTTCGATTCCTGCTCACGGCCAACACCAGTGACAAATTATCTGAACCAGTCCTGGGCCTCCCCTAGGTCGACTCGGCCTCAAATGAGTATCTGGTGCGGTGTGTAAACATCGCCACTGGTGAGACAAAGGCGGCCGGGCGTGGTGCTGGCCACCCACCCCCTCGTGTGCCGTGCCGGCCTTCGTAGGTGCTACTCGCTAACAGCACTTGCCCCAACAGTAGGTCAAGGCTATACGGGGAATCTTTATCTTTGGTGTAGTGTGGTTAGCATGGGCCCCGGTGCAAGGATTGCAATAATAAAGTGGATACCATCTGTCCAATTTTCCCGCTCTTCATCATGGTATTGACGACGATGATGATGATGACTGATAAATTACGAGAAAAGACAATGATGTTCATGGAGGTTACTGGCAAATGTGCTGAGCGATGCCGAGTAAAGCGATGATGGTGGAGGCATTGGAAAACGGTGTTAGGTAAATGCTGGAGCTAAGTGCATCGATGATGATGACAATCCGATGGTCCTGGGTGACATCCGTGTGGAGTAAGGCGACGATGATAATTATTGCGACGATGACGACGACCGAGTGACGTTGCCTGTGCATCCACCTCGTTCTTCTCCTCCCTGTTCATCTTGAACTCGTGCCGCGCCGACTCCTGCAGGTACACCTGGTAGTGGCGGTCGGGCACCTGGCGGATGGCTCTCAGGATCTTTCGGTACAGGGAGAGAACTCTTTGCCGGTGCAGAAACTGCGGGGTGGGTGGGGTCCAACACCACAGGTACCGAGGCTCAGCCCAACGACACCACCACTACTGTGACTTAACACAGGGTGCTTCAAAAAGATGTTAACACTTACATGGGACTATCGTTTTTAATGGGAAATGAACGAATAACACACAGTGATATGATAACAAATAGCTTGAAAAAGTCCCCAAAAGTCTCCACTTGTTCGCCATCATTGCCAACGCGTGGCCTGGAATCTCTCCAGGCGGTCTACAGAGCCTGGAGGCAGCAGCACATTTCTGCTGGTAAGATTGGAAATTCTCAATCTTTGCTAATTAACCTACACCAGAGAGACAGCAGCAACCTTCTTTCAGGCCGAATCTCACTACCGGTAAGACCAGAATTAAAAAAAAAACGCCTAAAAGGCGAACAGTACAATGCATATATTATAAACAGAGCATGTTTTGTTTGCATGTTCAACACTAGTGCCGTGTGTGGTTAATACAGTCACTTGATTTATTGCAAAAGGTTTATATTTGGTGTTTGAACGTCAAAACGCAACTCTTTGTTTTACTGCTGGAGAGTGTAAAACCTATTCTTGTGTTTCATGCGTCTGGTTTAGTTTGAAGGCTTTGGATGAAGGGGGGGGGGGTGGCCCCGGGCCCCCTTGCTGGGGGGGCCAATACAGTGGGTGGAGGGGGGGGGTGTCCCGCAACCCCCCCCCTGCCCCCCATAACAGCGCGGGCCGCCTTCAGCCGCTACCGGCCTAGGCGCCGCATTCGCCATTCTCGGCGTAGCAAAACATTTTTACTTCAATGCCTTTTCTCTTCCAAAGAGCACCGTAGTCCAGTGCTCGCCGGTATGAGCCTAGCGACCGAATCACAACCTCGAGAATGCGGTCTGGTTTGGCGAGCTAAAGCAGAGCTTTGTGCCTGGACGGTGGCCGACAGCAGAAGGCGGGGGGGAGGGGTGGCGACAGCGAAAACTCCACCGCTGTACCCTACTTCTATGCTCCCTCTTAAAGTCTGTTCTCGCGCTTCCACCAACTCGAACCGACCGCCGCGGCTGCGGTGTGGACTGTACTACCCTGAGATACAACAACAAAACTTGGGCCATTTCGTAACGGTGATTAATTAATTATAATGCCTCAAATATACCGTCAGAGTGGGTAAACGCAACTGCCCCCCCCACCCCAAAAAAATGCGGAACTTTTAACGTCCCGGCAAGACGCTAGAGTCTCGAGGTGCAGGATAACCTCATGGGGAGGTTCCTCGGGACGCCAAGGGCGCAGGTGGCGGCCAAAGTGGGGGGAGGCCTTCATCCAGCAGTGGATTAGCAAACCGCTGCAGGTCAACCCGCGTGCCACCCTCAATAAGTCGTCCCCCGAACGTCGTCTCCCGAACGTCCCCTGAACGTCCTCTGAACGTCTCCCCCCCCCCCCCCCCACCTGCTTAAGCGTGGGGATGCCGGGCGACGCCATCAGCTGATCGCAGAGTCGAGTCTCCACGTGCTACGGGTGCTCGCTGGGGGTGGTGGGGAGGATGGACGCAAAATAACGCGTTTCAAAAATGAGATGCGTCCTCGGTTTAACGCGGAAGTCGTTGGCTTTTGCGACCGACTATTATCCATAATTAGAGGGTTTTGGGTTTAAAGACACATTTATATTTCCATCCACAGCATTGTTAGTGTAAACACGGGCCGCGCTGGTTTATAATGACGGCTGTCTCAATTGTAAAGTTTATCGGCAAATATAAGCACAATTCATTTTTGAACCCTCCACGTATGCGTAGAAAATAAGCGTTTAATCCATCAGCCTGTTCGATTCTCCAGTTCAGTGTAAGAGGCCGTCCATAAATGACGTCACGCGATTTTGGACGATTTTTGACCCCCCCCCCCCCTCTTCGTCACACGGCGTCACAAAAAGTCAGACCCCCCCTCAAATATGACGTCACAAAGCTCTGCCCCCCCCCCCTCCTAAGAAATAAAACATGCTTCAAATCGCTTTAAACTATTGTCATTGCAGTGCGTATTTAATGTGGCGCTGCACTCTGATGTTGTAGGAGAAAAGATTTATTAAAACGTCTAATTAAGTAGAACGTGTTGTCTATATTTTTTTAAAGTTGCGCATTTTTATGTGACGTCACATTTATCACCCCCCCCCCCCCACCTAGGTGCGTGACGTCATTTATGGACGGCCCCTTCACGTCGCCAACCGTGAACATCGGTGGGTGCGGTTTCGACATTCTGGATATCATCAATCGGCAGTCAGGTCTCTCAAACAAATACTATTGGACTATGAGATGCTATTGGTATAAAAAAACACCGCTTAGATAGGCTATGGAACATCGTTTAAATGCAAAAAAAGCTATAATCATAACTGTCTCAAATGTAAGGGCTTCCGAGTACACACACACGCGGTACATTCTGCAGCGTAGCCGTCCTGTGGTCAAAGCGCCTGGCAATGCGTTCCATCTCCGTTCGGCTCTCCAAGTGAACCACAAAACCTCGCCGATCTCGTCAAAGAGCGTAAAACCATCACGCCAACTCCGCTCAACCTCACAGCAGCAGCATCTTTTGGCTCGGCCATGGAACAAAGACGCAGGTCACCGCATTGCGCGGCGCTTTCAGATGCTCTTTTGCGGCCGTCTGGAACGCTTTTTTCCGATATTAGTAAGCTACTGGGAGCTGTGCACTTTAAATCGTGTAGACAGACAAACTAATTTCTTTAGAACCGCGTTTTGTATTTTAGTTTGTTGTCCTTCCACCCCGCACCTTTGATTGACACGACTACGGTTGGCTACGTACGGCTACGTACGGTGCGAAAGAAGTCCAACATGCAAACCAGCCTTGATCCTGCATCGTGTCTCGGTGTTGGACCACCAGGCTGCAGGGCTACGTAGTTGGCAGTACAGAAAAAACAATAAAATCAAGTTTCATATCTCGACGCTTGTTTACCCATTAAAGAGTCAACCCTGACTTTTTCAGTAAGATCCTGCCAAGTTTTTCACAGTCGGTATTGATGGTTGCGATCTATAATCCTAAATGAGCAATGGGTTTTTTCCCCCTCCCTTTTAAAATTTTGACCGTGACGCAGCCGACAATGCCATGACCTGCTCTTGTCAATAATAATAAGTTTACATTTGTAAGGTGGTTTCCACGAATGTCTGAAGGCGTCTTGTAAGAATAAGGGCCAAGAGAGGTGAAGCTAAATAGAATAAGCAGACTTTGAAAAAAATATGTATTTTAAGACGAGAAATAAAAGCAGGCACATAGGATAGACGAATTTCCAACGGTAGGGAATTCCACGATGTCACGGGATCTTTAACGTCCACTCTGAAGCAGAGGGCGCGGATTACGGCTGATACCCCCCGCGGTAATAACCAGGGCAGCCGCTGTGTTTCGAACCTCCGCAACAAGCAGCGAGGGCGCTATCGCTGGGCCAGGTCACCGCGACATTGTTAGACGGTACTTCTGTGCTACCGCGTCTACGTGCCCCACCATCGCACAACCCGCAGTTAATATTTCCATGGGTCGCTGGTTGGTTTGGGGAAGGGCCGTGAATCGACTCGTAGCCATAACCAGGACGAGGTACTACTACATACACTGGGTGTGGTGTGTCAGCCGAAAAAATATTTTCCGGGTCTTCGACCTGGACAGACCCAGTTAAAAGATTAAGGCATGAGTTAATATATTTAAAGAAACAAGCCAAGACACAAATAATCGCAATGACTTTACAATTGCCCTGTATTCACAACTGAAAGGGTACTGAAGTTACATATATACAGTATACACAAAAAATATGACCTGTACAACTGCTGTATAAAATAAATTATTGATAAATCCTATCAGGCATTAGGTATCTTGGTAATATGGCCACTAACCAGTGCACACAATGGTGCTTTTGTACACACACTTCGCGGCGAATGACAATTGTGAGAAAGTGACAAACATTACAACCATCACAGTACTACCACAGCACCCAACCACCGCATACCACCATGCAATAAGCACACAATCACTCCAAATATACCATGCATCACGCCAACAACCATGTACCACCATGCACTATCACTCGAACATCAAGCAACAATCACCAACCACCACGCATCACCATACAATAATACATCTAGATTGTGAAGTTTGTCCTTCCCCCGCACCTCCGATTAGCATGGTTGGTTACAAACGGTTCGAATGTTCTCCATACATGCATACATAATAGCATTCCACAGGCAACACCATACCACCATCCCGCAACAATCACCAGACAACTACCATGCGTCGTGGTGACGAGATGCTATCTCCAATGCTCTGTACGCAAGAGGTCACGGGTTCTCTCCTGGATCCTGACGGTGGCTATTTGGCTGCGACTACAAGTACCCACGTGCAATGATGATGATGTAAGCAATGTCGATGAGAAATCTCATGTGTAGCCAGGTCGCCCTCTGAAAAATAGCGAATATCTCAGTGGCCTTTACCTGGCCAAAAAAAAAAAACACATTTCACACCACACAGCAATCATCGTGCAAACCAACATAAAACCAGCATGCAACAACCAACATAAAACCACGACTCAATTATCGCTTACCACCACAATCAGAAAAGCACCAGCAGGGAGGGATGTGCCACCAGTAAAGTGATGGTTTTGGCCTCGGAGCACACTCCATGTTTCTAAAAATCGACTATTAAGGAAGGCTCGACAACACAAAGAACACCGTATTCGCACACATGAAAACACCATGCAAGCCAACTTCGGTCCCCCACCCCCCGCCGCTAGCCAAAACTGGGGCAAATATCCAAAGCATTACTTCTCTACCATCTCAAGAATATGGTTTCTGTGTACACACGCCTCTAGTAAAGTCCCTACATCGCTTGAAATGAACGTAATTTTGAGGAAAAAAATTAAAATGAAGCTGACAAAAAATGGGGTAAAATGATTATGCACTCGTGTCTGCATACGTCTACACCGTACGCGGAGAACCAATGAGTCAAATAAGATCAGCAGGTTCACGTCAAACGGCCAGTGGCAACCGTGAGGCCTACCACTTTGAAATGGCCCGCAGGTTGTATGTATCCATCACTGCATTTGTATCCGCACTCATTGGGGAGGGGATGGGAATATTTTCGACACGGGAAAAAACGTGTTTCTATGTATGTACATGTACGTGTGTGGTGGCGGCTCGACAAATGTAATGGGAAGGGTCCCCCCCCCCCTCCCACCTCCAAGTCCTATTCTGCACTCACGACCAGATGTTCTTTTTGTTGTTCACTTTCGTATCTCAAAAAAGTTGCGCTCAACGTCCAGCAACAATTTGTTCAGTAACTCTACAGGCCACAATTGTTAATATCCGAGTTCCGCGTTTCTCTCTTTAGCTGTGTAACTAAGTGACCCGGGAATGTGAAATCCATACATTTTGTGATCCTGAATGTCAAGCAGAATGCTTAAGAATAACAAACACCACCGGTGCATTAAAATGTTTCAAATCACTTGCGTATTCTCAGAGGTCTCACCTCCCAGCAAAGAAAACGAATTGTATAATCCATTCGACATTAAACTGACAGGGTAAACAAATATACAATTTTTTTAACAAAATGACATCAAACTTATTAAGGGACTTTCCGATCATCCTGAATGTACACCCAACAATGAAATGCCAAAGCACGTGACTTTTCTCTACGCTACAGAAAAATAAACTTGTTTTATTATTTAAAGCTTTCCCACCTGATGACGGACGCTGGTGTTGCGCCCGAAACGTCGTGATTTATAAAAATTTTGCTACAGTCACGAAAGCTTCAAATCAAGATTATTTTAACTTTAAGGAACTGCAATCAATGGATAACTAACAATTGTGACTATGCAATCAAATACGTAAATTATAATATTGGACATTTTAATTGTCATTAAATGTGAAAATCCCAAACCCATTCTAGATCAAACTCACAACCACCGCAAGTTGAACCACATGTATGCAGTAAATTCTCAATTATCCAGGGTAATAGGGAGGAGGGGGGGTGTGGGCATAGTGGCCCTGATAAATCAAACGCCAAAGGTGCAGAACCCACGGGGCAAATGATCCTTACGGCGCTACCCCGGGGTACCAAATAATACAAAATGGCCGAGGCAATTTAATATTTTATTTCTGGGTCATTTTTTTTTTTCCCAGGGGTGTACTTCACTCCACGACTGGGGTACCAATCAATCCGAAATCAGCGCCACTCCGCGATGTCGAAACGCATCGAGGACGATTGCGCCGAAACGTTGAACGCTCGCGGTACCACGGTGCATCGTGCACAGCTCGTCGAGATGAGTCGATTGCCGCATCGCCGACCATCAACAGAGAATAACAGTGACTGCATCACGGACATTATGCGAGAGCAGGGGTACTATGGTACCTCGGGGTACCGCCATAAGGTTCAAATGTCCAGAGCATTGCTTTTCAGCAGTGTCAAGAAAACTGTTCACTCGACGTCTTGCCGAATGTCTTCAGTAACTCTACAGGCCACAATTCATAACCTATCTTAATTACAGTTCAGTAACTCTATACAGGCCGCAATTCGTAACCTTTTCGAAGGCCTGTTTGGCACCGTTGATGTCACAATTCCTATGACCTTGACGGCCAACCAGAACACTCGTGGAGAATATGGGCGAAGACGTAAAATGCCTCGTCTGTTTTTATTCTTACCTTATATAGATGTATTCCTTCTTTAAGTAAATGGTTCTCTCACTGACATGCCTGCGCTCACGTAGGCACTGACACTCAATGAGGAGCAGCTAATAACAGACAGTGCGTGTGTAAAAATATATTGTTTCGCAAGCCCGGTTAAACCCATAACCCAGACAATCCATCTACGAACATTCGAGAGTGAACTCTATACAGCAGCTCGTGTGTCGGTGTCAAGTGGGCTATATCGCAGGATATTAGAGACTCTGATACCCCTCCATCAAAGTGGGATAACTGTGACTGATGTTAAACTGTATACAGGGTGGCCCAAAAGCCAGGGCACACCAGACCATTATATATTTATTTTATATTACATGATGTTATTTTATTTATTTTAACATATGTTCAAACTGACTTCCATCGACATCAATGCATGCGTGAATGTTTTGAAACGAATTCAGGGCTTTATTTCTAAAAAAAATAATTACAGGTGTGCTCTTTGAACATTTCACAATTTTGTATTTCGATTTATTCAGGGTTATTGGTCGAGTTTTGTAAATGACGGTGACCCCACGGGAAGAAGAAAAATTAGATATCAATTATGATAACAGATATAGCATATTAACTTATAGAATAAACAATTTAAATGTATTAATGCCAGTGTTAAAATAAATTAAGCATATGTCCTGACTCTTGAGCCACCCTGTATATATCTTACAAGTTCAATTAAATATTGAGACTTACACTGAAAACTGGGTTTCCAGGGCAGCACCTCTTCACCGAGAAAACAAAACTGTCGTAAGGTATACAAGTCATGCTATTTAATAGGGGAGGGGGGGAACATAGGCTGGACGCCTCAAACACTGAATAAAGTCAACCAACATGAACTTGTATCATTGCTCTTTGTAAAAAAGGTAAAAGATGCAGGCCCGGCTACTGCTGGTAGCCAAAGCACCTCCAACTAAGGGTGACCACTTAACAGCGCCTGCCTCCTGAGGTTTATTTTGGCCTTCATGTTCACGCCGGCCAGACGTCTCGCCAGAAAGAGGCGGAAGTACCCACAATTTACCCAGCCACGCGCAAGGCCCGCCGGTCGAATGTGGCGCACCCATTCATACACGGCTGGGTGGACGGAGGCGGTGAGATTTAAGAAACACACCGAGGATTTCAACCGCCGTTGCCGGAGGACGACTGCAACCGGTGACCCCTGGGGATTGCAATTCGAGAGCGTGCGCCGAACCATTGGCAACCGTCAATGGGCAGCATCCATTGCTTCAGTACCGATATTTATACTGAACGAAATCTGCTTGCACGAGCGACGGCCTGCCTCCGCATCGGCCGTCAGCAACGCGGGGCGTGGGCTGCCGGCGGCGGCGGCGAGGATCCGTGGTCCGACTCCTGCATCGCGTCACTGTCGCTCTGCAACTTGGCGAAGGCCTCGTTGGTTAGTCTTTCCGCTGCAGCCGCCTTCTGGAAAAGCTTCAGCAGCTCCCGGAACCTGCGGGACACCTAGGCGACGCACAACAGGGGGCGGGGCGGGGCGGGGGGGGGGGGGCGAGCGTGAGAGTCACGCGACATTTGGGCATCTGTGAAAAAGGAGCTTCATAGCCTCGTCGGATTCCCGTAGCATAAATAAAGATGAGGATTCTGCGCAACTGCAATGTCTCCGTGCGGCTCGCGCACACGCATGACTGCACACCGGGGTTTGCCGCGTAATTATGTTTGATGATACAATACGATAGAATGAGCAATGGAAAGCATTTCAAAACTAAAAAAAAAATGTATTTTACCAGGTATGGCTCACTCAGTAATATAGCTCTTTTTCAAAAGCAACCTGGCCACAAACCATAGCTCATTTATTAACAGCCAAATACTCTAGACGCATGTTCAGTCTAAATGTGGAGGGGGAAAAAAACGGAGGACCCGGAGAAAAAATCCATGCGACCAGGGTCGGGATTGAACCCATAACCTTCCTATATACCAGACGAGGTAGTTAACATCTCGGCACCGTGGTGGCCCCATTTAAAAAAACACACACAAAGGCCCGGTCGGTGTGGTGGAGCCAGCACTGACCTGAGACCCAGTTTTGTCACCGAGCAACGCCGCGACGGAGGAGAAGATGTCCGGAGAGGGCCCGTGACGCTGCACCTCCGACAGAATCAGCCGGTCGTCGTCCCTGCGGATGACAAAGCGGCACGGAGGTCACGAGGTGGCAGCAGCGGCACTGGCGTGGGTGAGAGAGAGAGCGCACCAGTTCGTGGAAGGTTAGTGTTGGGTTAGCGTTCCCCGTAAGATTACTGGAGCGTTATGGTTAGCTTAGTGCGAGGGTCCAGATTAGGCAGGGTTAGTGATCACCTTAATGTCAGATTGACACTCGTGTCAGGGTTAGGGTCAGTGTTGGAACAAGTGTTAGGGTTAAGGTTAGATGAGTGTTTGGGTTTGTGTTAGTTTTAAGGTTTGTGTTAGCTATAGGCTTGTATGTCAAGAGAGGGAATAGATCTCTAAATGAATTAAAATGGACCAAAAGATGAAAATTGTGCAAAACAGCATTGAGAGTTTCACGCTTGGAAGTCACCATTAACAATACCAAAATATCTATTAAGTAAAGCGATAATCGCAAAATTGACTGACTGATAGTTTGAGATCACACTTTACGCTGGAATCTCCCATAAAGTTAAGGAAATTGCCACCGACAGTTTTTAATTGGCAAGTGAACAAGAGGCTGTTTGTGCAGTGACAGAAGTGACTGAAAATGCACGAAAATTAGAAAGTGTTGCAAGGTCAAATACATTCTTCCCCACCCCCCCCCCACAGTACAAGATTAGCGTAGCCAAGATGCTTGCAGTGACGGAAAAATTGCGTCTGTGCCACGGGCCACATGAAATGAAGTCAAGGGCCAAATGTAAAGGAGTCACGGGCCGTAGGCTCCACGCTCCTGGTTTAACCATGTTACGATATAAGTCAGCTCTCTGCATTTGATTCGTGTGTACGCATGTATTATGTTGAGCTTCTTTCGCACCGTAACGTAGCCAACCGTGCCAATTGGAGGTTCGGGGCGGGGTGGGGGGGGACAAACAACAAACTAAACGCAAAAAGCAATTGTAAAGAAATTAGTTTTCACTTACGCGCAAAACCATCATCGCTGCACTCACCTGGTCCAAAGCAGCACCACCTCCCCGTGTTTCTTCACCACATTCTTCGCCAGGATGACTTTGTCGGGGGAAGCACTGCAACCCGATCGTTTCTTGCCCTTGCGCGGTGGCTCCTCGCCCGGTGAGGATCTCGCCTCCTCCCCGAGCTCCACCACATTTACCGATGACCTCCTTGATTTAGTTTTTTTTCTTTTCCGTCGATGGCCCTTTTCTGGTGTCAGGAGTTCTTCTGCAGACGACGGCATCGATGATTTCCTCTTCCTGCCACTAGTTGTCGACTCTGGTCCAACGGAATGTTTTTCAGACTCTGGTGACGATACTAAATTTGTCTCGGATGCTCTTGGCTTTTTACATTTCTTTTTGTCTCCATCTTGCTTGGCAGTGACGGGCGACTTGCTGTGTCGCCGCCGTTTACAGCCGTGCGGTTCTGGAGTCTTACTCAATTCTTCTTCCTCCTCCTCCTCTGCCTCCTCCGCCTCCTCTGCCTCCTCCTCCTCCTCTGCCTCCTCTGCCTCCTCCTCTGCCTCCTCCTCTGCCTCCTCCTCTGCCTCCTCTGCCTCCTCCTCCACCTCCTCTGCCTCCTCCTTCTCCGCCTCCTCCTTAGGCTTCCCGCCATCACACTCCTCCTCAAAAGGCACCTGCCACTTCCTGGACACACCCTCACACTCCGAATGCAGCCTAAAGTCTGCGTCCGCCTCTCTGCTTTTCTGACTTTGTGGAGCCTCGTGTGTGACAATTTCGAAGAATCCCTCTTTGGGAGCCCTGTTTTTGAGTGGTGAGAACTTCTGGCCAGAGTCGCCGTCCTCCGACGGGCTCTCCGTGTCCAACGCGAGGTGGAAGTCCGACTCCTCCTCGTCAAACTGCGCGTTCTCACTGTAGCATGCTGCGGGCAGCGAGACAAACTTCAGGCCTTCCGACGGCAGCGGCATCTTCTCGCCGACCATCGCACAGTTGGCCAGCCTGTAGCTGTCCTTCAGAGGAGAGAGCAGGGAGTTGGAAACCTCGAGGTCGGCCAGCAAGATGGACGAGATGGGAGGGTCCCAGTTGGTCCTTTCGTGGCACATGGAAAAGGTGGAGTCCGGGCTTTTCAACTGCCTGGATTTATCACAGCTCGTGTCCGCGCTGTCCGATGACGGGAGGCTCTCCGAGCACTCGAGGCAAGGGTAGGTCACTTGCACCTCCGGCGATCTGGCCACGGACAGTTCCTTCAGAATCTGCCTATTCACGCCCAGCAGGGACATGAGCTCGTCCCCCATGTTTGACTCCGTGCAAAGGGTAAAGTGCAGGGACGGCGGAAGAGGAGGCGGCTCCTGCGGGGTTTCCACGGCGGGACTCTTGTCGTCCGACTGCAATTCCGACACCCGCGACGCTTCCGCGCTGTCCGGAGGCTCGGTTGCTTTGTCCATGTCCGGGCCGAACATGCTCTTACCGGGTGTTACAGGGCACTCGTCCAACTCCACGCTCGTTGTCTCAACGTCCTCTGCAACACCCTCCAGTGCAAAGTCACCGTGGACAATCACGTCGCGGCCATCGCTGCCACCGTTACCGCTGCCAACGCTGCCGTGGCTGCCACTTTTACCGCAGCTGCTCACCGCCTCGGTTTTCTTCTGAGCTGCACTCCCACAGTTGTCCCCATTGCCTGCAACATTTTTAAAACCCTTCACCGTTTGGTCAAAATTTCCCTCTGGTTCAATTTTTCTCCTCTTCCCCACTGGGGTGGATATTTTCACAGGCGCGCTTATAACCTCCACCTCTGAACACATCTTTCGCTTGAGCTGTGACTGAGGTTCTCTCATGGACATGACGCCCAACTTTAGAGATTGTACAGTTGAGTTCTGGACAGATGCCATGCCCTCTGTAAAGTGTGGCATGCAAACAGGGTCTCGTCGTTCAACCGGAGATCGGAGAACACCATTAGGATACTTGGGAATCTTGTAAACCTTGAGGTTGGCGTGAACTCCCGTCGAGGCCAGCAGAGACCGAGCAGGCGATGCAGTGGCGACCGAAGCTTTGCCACCTACCGCGTGTTTGGGCGACGTTAGCCGCTCACGCTCGTCTCTGCCGCTCACCGTCCCACACTGCTCCGCAGACATCGATTTCACAGAGCGACGGCGTGTTGCCATTCTGCTTGCATTGTGGGGCCTGCTGCCGAGCTGCTGCAGACACAGCGTGTATTGAATGTTGTTGAACAAAATGTCAAACTCCTTGTCCAGCAGCCTGAGCAACACTCCCGTCTCGTGAGGCCTGTGGCCTGAAAACAAGCTCTCGAAGTTCGTGTTATTTTTCAGCTGTCCGATTGACTTTCTGATCAGGGAACACAGCTCCATCTTGCTGCCATCCTGCCCGCACCAATTGAACTTGTTCAACGTGTCGACGGACTGCTTCTCGGCATAATCCAGGATCTCGAACAGCGGTGGGTCCCGTGCCTGTGTACTAGAGCTCGGGTAGGTGCTATGCACAAGCTTCCGTACGCTCTCCAGTTCGTTCAGGATGGACTGCATCGTCAGCAGCGCTTGTTCCGGCTGCTGATTCTTGTTTCCGGGACAGTTCACTTTAGAGCGGTCGTTTTGTTTGGTCGGGCCGGTCGGTGGGTTCCTACTGAGATGAGACCGCTTGCGCAGTTTGAACTCCTGCCTGCACGACCTATTTGGGAAGCGTCCATGCTTCTGGGAGGCGTAGCCGTTGAGACGCGACAATTTTCCGGGCCACTTTTTGTTCCCACGCGGGTTGGCGGACGCGCTCCTGCACCGGCTGGCAGCCTCCCTGTTACGGCGGACGGGAATTGCTGCCCGATCAGCGACACTGGCGACGGTGGCGGTGATGACGGCGGCGGTGGTGGTGGTGTTGGCGGGGGAGGCGGCAGTGGTAGTGGTGCAATTAGCTCGGGAGCTGCTCCCCTTGGTGTCCTGCGCGCACGTGTCCCGAGGGATGTCTTCAGGTTCCGTGTCGCTCACGATCTCGCCCTCCTCCGGCCAGTCATCTTCCGCCTCTGGCGGTTTATCCGGTGTCGACTCTTTGACGCTGCCGCTGTTCTGCTGTGGCATCGCAGCTGCGCAGGGGAATTCCTCTCGCAGATGTCCCGAGAGAATGCTCTTTGTAAGATCTTCCAAGGGGCCTGCGTCCACACCACGTGAATAACGCGAAGTTAAGTGAAGACATCAGTTTATGCATTGTGTGCCATTAACATTAATATTATAACCATTTTTACTTGGACATCTCTATGTCCTGGAATATTTCAACACCATTCACATAAAAAATTACACTCTTTTACGGAAAGTTAGTCGGCAGTCGAGGTCATCCGACCAATAAAATATAAAACAATTAAATGCTTTTAAAATGTCACACTTTTCAAGGCACTGGATAAGTTTAAAAATAAGTAGGAATAACTTACTTTTACAATAAATACTATGTATCAAGAATCAACTTACAATTAACAGTATGTATTAATCAAGTGTGCAAATGAAGTGGGAATATTCGTCTCAGTCTCGCATGTTCACACAGCATGCAAACTGCTGCGCACCACAGCTCAACAAAATACCATTCAACTTATTAAACATCAAATACCAAGTGGGTGAAGCGGTCACTCAATTTTAGCGTGCCACAACTTGAACCCACGCGACCAGAGCTTAATTCCTGGCCACGGCTAACATGTATGGAAAGTGATCACCGAACTGATCTTGTGCCCCCAAAGCGCCAACCTGCACTGACCAGCGTGGTGAAGTATGGAGGGTCAAACAACCCCCACGACTGGCATATCGTGGCAAGGCCTTCAGCTACCAGTAGGCTTACAAAGGGTTGTGAGGTGACATCGTGAAGTGTAAGTATCGATTTTATTCAATGAATAATTACAAAATATTGTATAAATATGCCAAAGAATAGTCAAATGCCTACCGGCTGCTGCTGGGTCTGTTCCATATTTATCTCGACTGCCGGCGTCTTCTGCTCGCTTGCCCATCGTAGCTGGAGGCCCTGTCTGAGAAGACGATGCTGTCGCCACCTCTGCCACCACCGCCGCTGCCGCCACGACCACCCCAGCACTGTCACTATCCACATTTTTTGCACGGATCCCACGTTGTGGTGACAGCGCTAGGCTCAGGCTCGACATGAACGTCACCTTCGACTGCTTGAGCTCGGGCACCTCCTCTGCGCTGCCGCCTCTTTTTCTCGGCGTTTGCACCGCCTCTGTTCTTTCGGGCGATACTTCTGAATCACGCGAGGTCGCAGCCGAAACGTTTCTTTCAAGAGTAACGACGACATCGTCTTGCTGGGAGTGGTGCTCGATAGGCCGTGATGGTCGACCGGCTGCCAGGGCTTCGTCCCCTGAGTGGCCTTCACTGAATTCTCGCTGAACTAATGCCGAGGTGCCTTCGCCGTCCCATTTGGCTAGAATTTCAGAATGCTCCGCTGAGCCTGCATGCTGATCAACAGTTGTACCGGAATGTGCATGCCAGATCTCTACGCTCTCCTCGAGTCCATCACCATCACCGCCATCGCGATCAGCTTCACTGTTGGAATCTCCAGAATTCTCGAGAATAAACTCATCCACAACAACCAAGTCATCCATGTTGTCTGGCTGATAAGAGGCACTGTTGTTGAGTTCTGATGCCTCGGCCACACTGCTTGACTGCTCAACAATTATGGCTGGGGGAGAAGTTGGAGGCTCCGTGACCCCTTCGGGAGCAAGGCACCAACTAAAAGTGCCTCCGCTCCGCTGAGCGAATTCGGATAACGCCGAAAACGAAAGCTGCTCGGCCCCAGACCCCCACCGTTGGCGCAAATCGTCCGGTAGCGCGCCATCGCGTGGGTCATTGATGCCCACCACATTGCGTGCAGAGTTGAATTTTCGTCCGCGAGACTCGTGCTTTGGTGAAGATTTAGCACACTCAGGGTGACTGTGTTCCTGCATTTTACCTGGTGTTCTTACTGCCGAGCCACCACTACGTTTCAGCTTCTCCTTGGACCTTTCTTTCTCCGGGGAGATTTTCTTCCTGCCGGCGCTCGAGGTAGCTTCTCTCGGAAGGGAACTCTCCCCCTCCCCGTTTTTATGTAAATTTCCCCGGCCGCACTCGCTATCTTTTCCCTCTCTTCCCTCCGCACTTCCACGCTTGTCTACTTTGGCCTTATGCCTCGCGTTGTATTTCTCTGCCGAGCCGTCTCTGCGATACCGGACCTCGCACACTGACGAGCATCCTCCGAAGTCATCAGCAGGCCTTCCCTTACGCTCTCCAACACGGCGTTTGCTACCTTTGCTGCCGTGACACCGCTGTTCGGAAGCGTCGGCGTTGCAATGCGAATCCCTGGGCCTCTGGCATTTATCCACTCTGTGACTTCGCTCTCCCCTCATCTTTTCCTTCCGGTTATTTTCTAGCAAACCTTCCCGGGTGCCGTCACACATGTGAGACCTCCCGCCATCGTTGCGTTCGTAACTCTGCATATCGTGTTCGCTTCTTTGCTCACGTTCCTTGCCATCAGCACCATCAAGAGACCAGCACTGTGAGCCAGATGACTCGATCCTCTGC